CGTAACGTTAACGTTAACGTTAACGTTACGTACGTACTACTACTTACTAACGTTAACGTTAACGTAACGTACTACTACTAACAACGACGACGACGACACACACACACACACACACACACACACACACACACACACACACACACACACACACACACACACACACACACACACACACACACACACACACAGACACACAGACACACACACTAAGTAGATGGGGGCACAAAAGATATGGCACACACTGAGGAAGAGTATCCGGACCCATAACAGAGGATGTGTTTAGATGCACACACACACTCACAAACTTACCCACACACACACAACAGTAGCCAGTGTATGCAGGGTGATTCAATGAGTAGACGAAACCGGATGGGTCAGTGTCAGATCTGTGACATCACGTCCTGTCAGTCCAGATAAAGCTCAGAAATGCTGACGCAGAGAACATTTCACACTGCAGTAAAACTCGGACCGGTCTTCAGTGTTCCAACACGTGCCGCTGCACCTGAACACACCACTGCTGCTGCTGAATGCACACATTCAGATGTGTATTTCTGTTAGTTTCACTGTTTTCGCTGACAATGTTTTTTGGCTGGCCAGGCTGCTGCTTTCACCCCCTACTCTGCTTCCTCATCCGCTGATAAAGACTCACCTGTTCCAGAGTCACAGCCACCAGCTGCTCTTATGCTGATCACTAATCACCTCCCCATCTCCACCCTACAACCACACACACACAATCGCTCTAATCCGCTGATGCATCAGGTTCAAAGATCTGTCTGCAGCCTCTGGTTAATGTGTGGCTGCAACATGGAGGACTCGGATCATTGAGTCCTGGACCAGTCTGCATCCTGACTGTGAGGGAGACAGTGTGTGTGTGTGTGTGAGAGAGTGTATGTGAGAGGGTGTATGAAAGTGTGTGTGTGTGTGTGTGTGTGCGAGAGAATGTGGCAATGATTGTTTGTGAAAGTTATTCTTCTCTTATTATTATTGTAACTTTTATTATTAATGTCAGAAGTATTTAGCAGTAGTATGTTTTATATATTTGTATTTTATTATATATGTTGCATCGTTGGAGGAGCTCAGGTCATAAGATTTTCATTGCCATTTTCACATTGTAGCATGTGCATATGACATTAAAACTTTTGAATCTTTGAATTTGAAATATTTTGAAAATGTTTAGGCTTTATTAGAGAGATTTTAAGGTTTTAATAAATGAGATGACACGTGTAAATTGCAGTAGATTAGTAGTATTTTAAATTGTTGATGACATCCATCAGTTATATTAAGCTTATTTTCTAGAGTTTAGGTTACATACTATTGTCAACACAGCTGTTTTATCTTTGAATGTTAAAAACCAATATCATATACAAGTGTTTTGGCAGCCCACACCATCCTACACAACGTAACCCACAAGGTCACGACCCCAGGAGCACAGCATCAGCAGCCCGACAGAGAAACCCCAGCACCACATGCTCCATACCCTGCCCAAAATCGAGTAGAGAGCTGATGCACTGATGACTGCCGACCTGGGGGAGACCACACACACCTGCTCCGTCTCATATGTGCCTCACTGATGAGCTGTGATACTGTAAAGTGTCATGAACACTACACACTTTAAAAGTAATCCCACTTTCTAATGTTTGTGTGTGTGTGGATTTCAGGTGAATTGAAGTTCCTCTGTCCTCATTCAGTCATTACGTAACGTGATTCAACTTCTTTCTATTCAGGGGAACTTTCCTAATCCTTTTCACAGCTAATCCCAATCTGTGTCTGTGTCCCCCCACCCCCCCTTTTCCCCACAGCAGGACCAACAGAGGCTCTCTGGGACGAGCTGTCGGAGATTTGCGGGACTGTCGCAGTTTTCAATGAGTAGGAGGAAGGAAGAGGAAGAGGAGACATTTCCTAACATGGAGCTGGAGACTGATAGGTGAAAGAGGAAGAGGGGTTGAGTGTAATGGTGACACTGTTACTGCTGATGACAGACTGAATTCCCTGCTGTCATCAACAGGAACATCCCCTCTAGGAATATTACACAATGTGCCATAAACATAAAACCCTGTATTACCCCGAGCTCACTTCATCGTACAAGCCCTTGCACACACTCCATTCAGATCACACTGGCATTGTAAAATAAACTACTCACAACAACCAACAGGAATATATAAAGGTTTTTTATATAAATATGATAAGCATATATGGGGAAATTACCATTTGTTAGATAAGAGTCAGCGAAAGTGTGAAAACTAGTTAAAATAAATGGCTGACATAATAGGCTACTGTTTAAATAGTGAGCTCAAACAGAACTGTTTTAAATCTCAAAAATGTATAAATGGTGATTACATTTTTAAGGTTAAATGTGATAAATGGTTGAAATAGAGGTTTTAAATATATGTCATTATTGTGGAAAACCAGTCATGTAATTTCTGGAACAGTATTATACACACACTGCCTGTTATTACAACAGTGTGTGTAGAAGAAGACACACATATAATACTGCAACATTCACACTCCTTTCATACATAACTGAAATATCATATGACTGAAGTTAGTCTACTCACGTGCCGAGGACTTCTTTAAAATCAAAAATCTTCTTGATGTCGTCCTCCTGTTTCTTCCACGTCTCTCCTCTGCCGGTGTCTCCGTTCTCCCGAGCCATAGCGCTGCTTCTCCGGCCAAGTCCGACCGACTGACCGACCCGGAGCTGCGGGGAAACAGGAAAGGTAGACGGCAGGAGATGAGAGCAACGACGCCGAGCTGAGAGTGTGCTCCTCGGATACTGCAGGACATGAGAGTCCCCCTGCAGGTTACCTTGTCCCTGATGCAGCTGCTCTCTCTCTCTCTCTCTCTCTCTCTCTCTCT